GGAATGGCTGACAGAGACAGTGTGAGTCTGTCTGGCGCTGGTATTGTTTGGAATGGATCATGGTTGGGCCCGCCGGCTCTCTCTCTGCAGCACAGCCACAGGATATGCGGGACACAGAGCCGGGCTGCTCGGGCCTGGGGAGTCCATGTGCCCTCACCTCTCGTCGTGGACGGGAGGGACAGGCAGGGCCCTGGCGGTCAGCAGCCCCAGGACGCCTGTCCAGGCCCCGACTCAGTAGCCAAGCCATCACACGGGGGGCCGGCAGCATCTCTGTCGTGAGGTTCGGAGAACCCTGTCCATGAGGTAGAAGACACAATGCCAGTTCCAGAACATCCTCCCACCTTCCAGAAGCTCCCCGCCTGTGCTGCAGCTGGAGGTTGGCGAGGTGCGTGCACTGGGTGGGGTGCTGAAGAGAGCGTGCAGGTACCCACGGCGAGGATGGGGGTGAGTTCCTCGAAGCTGAAAGGCAAGATGGGGCCAACCGGAGAGGACTGAGGGGCAGCTGCGCCCTGGCCTGCCTGAGGGGCAGTCCGGGGGACTCGCACCCCAAGAGGCGACACTACCAAAATTTCAAAAAGTTGTGGCCGTTTATTAAAACGTGGAGGAGCTGGAGCACAGGCGCTGGGCACTTCCCAGGTGATGGAAGGGCGTGAGCAGGGCTCGGCCGCTCACTGGGGCCGTCCTCAAGGCCCCCAACCCAGAGGCGGGTCCAGACCCCACCCAGCCGGGGACAGTCCAAACCCCTGGGGGGCCCTGACGGGCAAAGGCGGCCCTCCTTCAGTAGGCAGGGCCCCTCCCTCTCCTGCCCCAGGACCCGAAGGGAAGCAGCAGCGGGATAAGCACCAAACATGGGCGCAGCTGCAGCCACCGGGCGACTGCCGCCCCCTGCTCGCCTGCCGGTGGCCTCAGCCGGCCCGGGGTGTGCGCGGCCACGAGAACTCGGAGCAGGGCTGGGGTCTGAGAGGGTCCCGGGCTGGAGGAGAGCGAGGAGCCGCGGGATGCCCGGATGTGCGCATCCGCTAGACCAGAGCACCAAGTTTGCAGTCGCGGGGCCAAGTCTGCGCCCCTCCCCTAGGCCGAGGGGCCCGGCAGGCCCGTGGGCTCCGAGGCGAGGCCGGCTGAGCTCTCCGGCTCCTGGAGGGGCGCTGCATGGCCCGTCTCCTCGGGCG